TCTGCGGCCTTGGGGGTTGGTCCCTGTGTGGCCATGCGGAGAGTCAGGGTGGTGAGTGACCGGGACAGTTGGGGACAGTGAGTGACCGCTCCTAGAAGGAAAGGGGCTTCTTCGCCATTCGAAGGGCACAGGGCTGTGGGGCCACCTGACCTGGGATGAGACCCTGGTGCTATGACCCCAGCGGGGAGTCATCTGAAGGTTTCGAGGACAGTGGCCCCTGCTCTTCATGGGTAGGTGGGAGTGTGGTTGCACTCTCTGAATTTCCTTTAGACTGAACAAGCAAGTGTGAGTCAGCTCAAGGCTGGAAGCTGCAGGCCTCTGGGAGCCTCAGAGGGAAGGAGCCTGTCCCCTGGGTGTGGCTGTGGCTGTCCTCTGGGGACCCCGGGGGACAGGGCAGAGAGTGCAGCACTTGACAAGTAGGGCTGCTGCCTTCCTGCTGTGGCCTGGCCTTGGGGCTGTGACAGGACTGTGCGCCCAATGGCTGTCACCACGTGGCAGCCAGTTAGCGCTGGTCTTTTTGCTGTATCACAGAGTCGCACTTGGTCCTCTGCAGACCGTGTGAGATGTGCATTCAACCCGGGTTTTGACAAAGACACTCGGGTACAGCCCCCTGCAGGATGTGGTTCCAATGAGAAGGTTGCAAGCCTGGGGCTCTCCCACCTCGTGCCTGTACGATTCCGGTGGCCCCACCTGGCATTCGCTGGGCACTAACTCTTGGTCAGGTACCTTGGTGGGTCCCTTGGATCCATCAGCTTGAATGACCAGCAGACCAAAATCCTTATGGCGCTCTCTTGCTGCTCAGAATGTAGGTGGGATCTCCGTGCAGCATCTGTGGTTCTTTTTCTTAAGCTTCCCTTAAGGTGGTGAAACACACATAACGTAAAATTAACCACCTTCGGCAGTTTTAAGTGCCCAGCTCGGTAGTGCTAAGGGCATGCACGTTGTTGTATGGCTGTCGATCCCAGGTCACTGTGTTCCTTTCCTAACAGGATCTGTCACCCCTGTTCCTTGCAGCCTTCCCTAAGAGCTGGTCGTGTCCCAGTGGAGACCTGGCGGGAGCCCCTCCCACTCCCCAGCCTGGCCACGTCCAGAGCCAATGTCACGTTTCTAAGTTTGAGGAGTCAGATTGAGTCAGCCACTCCTCTTCTCAGAACCACTCCTGTTCCCTCAGCCTCTTTTGAGGGCTGTTTGCCATCACGTGGCCTCCCCCACACCATCCAGCCTCCCCCAGCTGCTGCCTGGCGATGTCCGCGTCTGGGCTCCCACAGGGCAGTGCTGCGTCTTGGCTCCACGGTCCCTCTGCATGGACCTCCTGGGAGGGCCTGCATCAAGCAGGGTTTTGCAGACCAGACCCCTCGCCTTCCTCCATTTGGTTTGAGTGTCAGCACCCAGGCACCTGGGACAGGGCAGGACAAGAGCGGGGCTCTGCTGACATTTGTCAGCCTGGGTGAGACCAGCAGTCCCTGCCCCCGGCCTGGCCACGTGACCGCCCTCTTCGCTGAGGGCACTTTCGGCCCATCGGGCTCCTGCCCGCTGTTTTAAGGGAGAAACACTTATGCTCCCCTGTTGTGTGGTTCTTTTAGGGGTTCCTAGTCACGGTCCAGGAGAGAGCCCCTTCCCTGTGCTGGCCCACGTTAATTTAAACCTTTGCTTCTTCCCTTGAAGAAGGGAGTGGGAGACTGGGATTTTAATGTTAAAGGTTTGTAAAGAGGCATCTTACTTTTTCCTGAAAAAAATGTCCATTAGACATCGCCTGCCGGAATTCTCATTCCTCAGCCCTCTGGTGGAAGCGTTTTTCTTCTGTGTCAAAAATCCAAAAAAGGAGACTCCCTCCCACCCGTGTCTCCTCTCCCAGGAGAGACAGGCGAGGGTTCTGTGCAGACTGAAGTCCCAGGGACATCTCGGGGCCCCATTTTCCAAGGAGTAAGGCAGCCAAGGGAAGGCTGACCACGACGATGCCCAGATTCCACCTCGGCCGTCTGCTTGGGGACCGAGCAGATGCTTCCCCGGAAATGCCTCCAGGGGGCCCAGCACTTGTTCTCAGGCAGAGTGAGGTCGACGTGGCTGTGGGGTGGGTCCTCCCCTGCCGGCCGGGCCTCACAGGGAACTCCAGGGAGCGTCCCCAGCTCGACTCTGCCTCGACACAGGGACCCTCACGCAGATGGCTAAGAATCGGACGTTCTGGGGGATGCCTTCGTGGCCTCTTGAGGCCCTTGTGTCTCTGAGCTCCTGACCTGGGCCCTCGCCAGGACCCACCCCGGTAACAGCACGCACTGTCCTGATTCACAGCCTGGGACTTCCTGGCTGAAATCTCAAGGCTGAGGGGCTTACGGGGACAGCTTGCAGCCCGAGCTCCCAGGCGACCCGGAAGGACACCCTGGCCCGTCCCTACCTGCTGTCAGACCTCGGCTTTACTGTGTGTGGCGGTGGGTCATCCTCACCTCCAGCATTTCTTTGCACAATGTTTTGGATTCCTTATTACCTTTCTTCATAAAACAAGTGAAAACAGTGAAAGAAAAAGCTCAGGGTCAGGATCAGACTCAAGAGGTTTTGTCGGCTTGTCAGTGTGTATCTTGGGGCTCAAGCAGGACGGCGGGGTCTCTGGAGCACAAGTCTCTGAACAGATGAATTGTGGGTTCAGTTGTGAAAGGAAAGAGCAAAACGGAGCCTTTGATCACGATCCATTTTTCCACCTTGAATCTTAAGAGGCCACATCTGAGTGGTGACCTCGGTGTCTCCCCCGGTAACTAGCCAGTTTCTGGCTGAGTTTCACGAAGGACTTTAGGGTGCACTGAGCGAGCCCTGGCGGGGACCTGAATGAGGCTTTCACCGTCGTGTGGCTTTAGACCGGGGTCTTTGGGGCCACCCGCCAGCCAGCGCCCTGGGGAGTTTAAGCACTCCCCCTTTTTCTTGACCATCTGAGTCTCCGTGACTGTGATAGCCACCGTCAGGCTGACCAAGATACTCTTCTTGTCAGCGGGCAGCATCCTTCTCATTTACCAGGTGTGGGAGGGACCACCTGATCAGCTGCCAAGGCTAAGAGATGGAGTCCAATCGGTGAGGGTCCAGGCCTCAGGCATCCACCTCCCCTTCTCCGTCTGGGTGGGTGAATGGCAGCATCCGGTTCCTCCCCAGGGGACTTTCTGCCGACGCCAGGCAGCCCCCAGCCCCTCCGTGCCAGCACCAGCCAGGGCCTGGCTGAGGAGCAGCTGCAGAAATTGGCAGAGGTCGTCAATTCAGGGCACTGGTAGTGCCCTGGGCCGCCTCCTATAGGTCGAGCGGACGCAGCTCCACCCCCTCCTGTCTATACTGGATCAGCCAGTTTTGTTTGTTTCTTCCCAGGGGCTTTTAGAGCCATTGACGGATTTCACTGTCCAGGGAGCTGGGCAGGTTCTGATTTTCTGTGGTCATGTGTGATTTCTGTGCTTCCCTGGATAAACAGTTTTCTGCAGGCCTTGGTTGCCCGCCTACCTACCTTCCTTTCTTCCTTCCTTCCCTCCTTCCTTCTTTCATTCAACAAGCACTTATGAATATGGAGCCCTGGTAAGACGTGGTGAGACAGACCAGACCCCTTGTGTGGGGCACTCACTGTCCAGAGCGGGAATTAGACAATGTGCATGCCAGAAGCAGGCCGATGGTTAGTGAGTGCGAGGGCCACGCGGGAGAAAGGCCAGGTTCCAGCCCATCGGGCAGGGGAGAGAGCAGTCCTCTGCCCAGCTCTGCCGGGGACTGACACCCGGGGGACCTGAGACCCTGGGCCCTGGAAGGGCTGAGTCATTTTAACTAAAGATCCCAGAGGTGACATGGGGGGGGGTTCAGAGCAGCACCCA